TTTGTTTGTCTGCACAAAGCTGGCACGAATGATGCTATATTAGACTGTGGGGCACTTGCTTGCTATGCGCTGCGCAGGCTGAGACTGTGCCCCGCACGAGCCATATACCATATGTTCGTTCACCTGTAATCTAATCTACAGCCTGTCCTTCCTGACAGCACGTAGGCTTCAACCAGTGTCAACATAGAACGCAAACGGCCACGGTCGTGGTCCCAGACACCGGCTCTCCACGTGTTGCGTGCTTGCATGGCTGTGGAATGAATTTCAAGACTTGCAAAGGCTTGCGGTTGTTCACGGCTTAGGGTATCGGCCTTGAGGCTCAGACTGCGGGGGTTCCAAGCGTAGGGATTCTAGGGGTGTTGGGGTTTCGCTCTTAAACCTCGTCCAGCAGTACGCAGGACCAACGCGGACCTTACGAGCTCGTGCGGTGCAGGGCCGTGCTACAAGATTGGTCCACGAGAGACTTTCTTTTGGATCTGGTGCAGACGAAGGGCAAGGCGCGGTGCCTCTATTCCGTGCCAGTCTTTAGATCAAGTGTCCTACAAGTGCGTTGCAGAGCCTCTGACGCGGAGGCTGCGCTGCAGAAGGCCACGCACATCGCAAATGCGATCGCGGCTTTTGCAGGGCCAGACCAGGACATCAAGCGTTTATTTCAGGAACACTGCCAGGTCCCTTCAGAAGCTTTGCAAACATGTTTTCCAGAACTTGTGCTCCAGAGGAGGTCTCCTGCTTTTGTTTCCTTTTGCTGGAAGTGAAAGCCTTCTGGTGTCCGTTACTTTGCCACTGCTATGCAGTCCGCTGCTGCCGCTGCCGCTGCCGCCCCTGCCGCTGCCGCCCCTGCCGCTGCCGCTGCCGCTGCCGCTGCCGCTGCCGCTGCCGCTGCCGCTGCCGCTGCTGCTGCTGCTGCTGCTGCCGCTGCTGCTTCTGCTTGTGCTGCGGCTGCTGCTGCTGCTGCCGCTGCTGCTGCCGCCGCTGCTGCCGCCGCCGCTGCTGCTGCTTTTGCTGCCGTACAGTCCTTGTCGCCGTGCTGGTGCTGGTGCTGCAAACATCCGCCTCATTTGGCAACGTGTGCATGTGTGGGAACAGGTTTCCGCAAGGGATTTCTTTATGTTGAGGGTTTCCTTGCAGCACAGACGTCAAGAGTAGACTAGTCCTGGCGGCATCTACGCAATTCTGCTTGGACCAGGGCGAGCTGATTTCATCCACACTTTCCAAGTAGAGCTGCACAAGTCCGTTGACAGTAGTTCCAGCGTTCACATTGTTGCATGGCAGGAAAGTTTCCAACTGACTCTTGTCAGGCTAGAGGACAGAAGGCCATATATCGTAGACCATGTACTGTCACATCTTCTAACAAAGGCCACGTGACCCAAGCGTGCACGTGACTGGCTTGCGTACTTCGCCTCCAGGGCGCCCTAGGTTTGCGCGTGCATGTTGTCTGCGCACGTTCCCTGAAGTGTTGTGTCTGTCGCACGCCTGTATGCCTCGTGCGTGTATGCGGGATGCGGGCATGCCGTATGCATCGTTCTCGATGTTGAAGTACGTCTCGGGTCGGCCGGCATAGCGCAAGCGTGCACTCCTGTATGTCTGCAGGCATTGTTGGCGTAGCGCATTCTGCTTCGAATACTCCATGCCCCGTCCTTTATTTGTGCCTGCGCTGTGGTCTGCGTGCATGCGGGTGCGGGTATGCTGTATGCTTGCGCGAGACGTGTTCCGGTCGCGCTTGTGTGTTCCCTGCGAGCGTCGAGTCCTGTGCTAGAGTTCGCCTGCAGTCACCGTAGTGTCATGCTGCATTGCGGCATGATGTCATGACTATGTCACAGGTTCGCCTAGATGATGCGGCTTGCTTTACGTCAGCTTGAGTGTGCCTGCTGCGTGTGTTCCGTTTGGTGTCGTGTCTCTCGCATGCCCTGTATGCGTGGTGCGCGCATACATGATGCATGCATGGTATACACGTCGCGTTGTACGTTCAAGTACGCATGAGGTGGGCCGGCATGGCGCATGCGTGCATACCGCGGCATACCTTCATGTCTACATGTGTCGTCTGCGTCGCGCATTCTGCTTCCAATGCTCCATGCCCGTCCCTTCTTTGTGTAGCCTGACTTGTGTGTGCCTGCATTGTGGCATGCCTGCATGCGGGTGCATGTATTGGGTATGCTTGTACAAAAACCTGTTCAGTTGACGCTTGTGTATTGTCTGCGTGCGGTCCAGTCCTTTGGTAGAGTATGCCTGCATCATGTGGCATTGCGGCATGATGTCGTGCCTCTATCTCAGCTTCGCTTAAATGCTCACGTCAGCTTCAGCGTGCCTTATGCGTGCGTTCCGTGTGGTGTCGTGTCTGTCGCATGCCTGGTATGCATGTTGCGTGCATGCGGGATGCGTGCATGCCGTATGCATCGTTCTGTACGTTGAGGTACGCATGAGGTGGGCCGGCATATTGCATGCGTGCATTCCCTAATACCTCCATGTGCATACGCGTGGTTTGCGTAGCGCTTTCTGCGTCCATGTCCCTCCCCGTATGCCCATCACTCTTCTTGGGTAGCCTGACTCCTGTGTGCCTGCACTGTGGCATGCGTGCATGCGGTCGGAGACAGTAGGCATGCTTTGTACATGACTCTTAAGTTAACGCATGTGGTCCTTTGTCTGCATTCGGAATACATTCCAGCTTGAAGTTTGACAGCATGCGTGACGGGTGTCTGCCGTAAAGTCGTAGGCGCGCGTGTGTGATTTCTTGTCGGCAGGTGTTCTTGTCAGACGGCGAGCAAGCAGAGCCGCTGGGCGCAAGGCTGGCGAAGGAGAGCTGCCGACACGTACTTCGTAGTGTTTCTGTGTGAAAGCGAAGAACCCGGCAGGAGCAAGGCACACTGGCTGGGCTCAAGGCCTGCTTGCGTTGCCATTGTCACGCGAGCATCAAGGCGCTTGAAAAAGCGTTGGAGTCATCCCCCGAAGTTGCGGCACTACTTGCGGACTGGATACACGCGTATTCGAGCAATGATGGTGCGAATCCTGGCGGATTCGCACGCGCCGTCAGAAACAGCGATAAGCTGCGTGAACAGTTCTCGGAGTTTCAGAAGCTCGACGAGGCCAGTGCTAGTCTGGGTGCCATGTCTTATGCACCGCAACGCTTTGGAACGCTTATGCAAGTTGCCACCTGCATAGTGAAGAATATTCGACCAATCTTTGACATGCTGGCCGAATTGAAAGTCGGCAAGACCAAGCTGAGCGGTTGGGCCGGTAAGCTGCTCAAAAACTGTTTTCGCGCTGACCGCCTCATTCTTTTTGCCTTGATCAGCGAGTTCTCCGAAACTGCAACGAAATATTCGCGGGCCTTCGACAACGTCAAAGAACAGGGGCGGTGTGTCAGCAACATCGCGCGCACGGCGCACTTGATAGACAGCCTGGAGGCCCGATTGCGGCAGCTATTCTCATTCAGAGACAAAGAAGGGGCTCTCCAGAAGCCTCTGGTCTTACAAGACGGGTACAACGGGCACTTGCAGAGGGTGAAGGAGACATGGAATTTTTTTCACTCGCGCAAGCTTCTGGTGCAAGGTGAAATGTTTTTTTACAGTGCGGGTCTGGGCACCGAAGAAGTGGCAGTTTGGGTCGCCGGGCAACTGGGGGTACTGCAAAACATTCTGAACCTGTACATCCAGGGTGTGCGCGCAGAGTACGACGACCTCTTGGCGTCCGCGCTGTCTCCGTTCGACGTCCATCACTGGCGCACGCGCTCCGATGCATCCTTGTTGGCGCCCGAGATCATGCATGCAGTAGCTCGCTGCTCATGCCGTTGCTGCTTCCGCAGTGCTGCTGCCGGTGTGCTTGCCAATGCAACTCAGGGAGACAGTCTTCCAACCTCTCTGCCGGACCCTTGGCTTGAACGCAGCCAGGTTGCAAGTATATTGCCGGAGAGCACAGGGTCCAAGTACGGGACTGTGGGGTTGCGACTCCAGGCGGCGGTCTTGAAAGAGCAGTACTTGGCCGCAAGGCCTTCGTGCCAGCGACTCATACAGCGCTTTGGATATGCAATAAAGGCGTTTGGATTTCACAGTTCCGTAGTGATCTGTTCCGCACGGCCAGGTCGGGTGTGTTGAATTTGGACGACGTGTGGAGGGACGTCATGGCGCATTGGGGCGACAAGCTCCCGGAGTTGGGCCGTGCAGTCAGGCGCCCAACCAGTGCTTGGATGTGAGTCACGTTGCCTGGCCGGCGTATCGTAAGAGCGTAAATCCAAGGCAAGTTTTCTTCTCTGCACCTTCGGGGCGAGCACGAGCAGCATCGAACAGCAGTTCAGTTTCCTCCAGCTTTTCACAGAGGGAAGGAAACACGGCACTTCCTTGCCGCACTTGAGGCCGGACGGCGTGTTGCATCGTGCGTGTTAAGCTCGCATCAACAGACCTGGCAGGGCGCTGATGAAGTCGAGGTTGGACGGTGGGGAGGTGGTCGTGGCTGAACACAGACAGAATGGAGGCTACGTCTTGGTTCCTTCAGAAATGGCACACCGCATCCAGAGGCAATACCGAGTAATGTTCGGAGAAAAGGGGAACGTGCAGCGGACACAGCTGGAGCTGCCACGCAGAGCGGTGGCCAAAAAGAAAAAGCCGGAGAGCACGGAGCCTTCGACCTCTGTAGCTGCGAACGACCCTGAGACACTTGCATTGGAGCAAGTTGCAGCCGCAGCATCCACTGCGAGCCGGTCGGAGAGGCAGAAGACGTTGCAAGCAGAGTTGGAGCGCTACGCCGCACGGAAACGCAAGCTCCTGGCCGAGGACGCACTGCGGCCAGGAGAGGGACCGGCTGCGAAGAAGCTTCGTGATCACACACGTCGTGCACGCCTGACATCCGAGAGGCTTCAGCAGCACCAGGTGCAGAAGTTAGCCAGCATCGTGGACAAGGAAGGGCCTCCCGCACATGAGACTGTTGTGGTGCTTCGTAAGGCCAGCGAAGATATCCAGGTTACACTTGCGGCCCTGGGCGCTCGATGCGTGCTGTGGGGCGAGTGCGTGTCCCCGGACTTGATCGAGGCAGCCACGCAAGTCATGCGCTCGAAGCACGTGATCTGGCTGGCTTCCGACGCGGCAGAGGAAATGGAGGCGGTGAAGGGCAGGTTGTGCACGTTCGCTGTGGGCATGCGGCTCATCGGCGGAGCTGTGGCGGGTCCGGAATGGTGGAAGGCATCCAAGGCACGGAAGCGTTTGTTACCGGCCTTCGTCGAACTCGCCGGCCATTTGTGGACTGGCGCTCTCGAGGTCCATGTTCACAAGTCTGTCGTTCACACGGCAGACGAAGCCATGCTTGGTGGCACACTTTCGGCTTGTCTGAAGGGTGCAGCGGCTGTCGGACGGATGACGCGCTGGGTGACACACAAGAAATGGAAGAATGTCCGGCAGAAGACGGCCTACATCATCATGAGCGAAGCGCAAATCAAAGAAGAGAAGAAGAGGATACATCGTCCACGCGGTGAGCTTGCATCGGCAGCAAGGTTCCTGGCCATTTGCATCTGGGGCCGCACTTGCTCTTTGTCTTGTGCAGCACAGGACAGTGTGGGGCACTGTATTTGGAAGCTCTTTTGCAACAGGGGTGGGGGCAGGGGGACCGCTTGAGGGTCTTGGAGCATCCAAGGCACAGCATGGGTCTGAGACTTGCTGTCTCATGCGGAGCCCCAGTTCCAACAGCAGCGAGCGGTGGGAAAAAAACATGTGCAGGACAGATAGAGAGCAGCAGGTCGACATCAGGAGGGAAAGACACTTGTCAGCCGGCGCTCTTGGGTTGAAGTGAATGCACGGAGAGAGTGGCAGCAGCAGACTTCGGAGTCTGCGCGTGGTGCCGCACCTTAGAGACGGAGAAGACATTGGCTGTTCGCACTCTCGGCAGTTGTTTGTTGAGGTGTGTGATCCAGAAGTGCGTCGGCAGTTTTGCGGTCGTTACGCTGGCTAGGCGGGGACATGCGGGTTAGAGAACACAAGACACGTCGCACGTTCGCTGGTCCTTCTCGGCAGCAGATATGAAGGCAAAGAACATACTACGTCATATGATGCCATGCTTGATTGTCGCCATTGCCAGGTCGAAGCCCTGGCGGAGGGCAGTTGCAAGTCCTGGCAAGTCCGGGCCTGAGAGCGTGCAGGTAGAGAAACGTCAAGCGCGCTGCAAGCTTAGTCATTCGGTCTCCGGGTAGAGAACGCAAGACACGTCGCGCGCTCTTTGCGGCGCCCGGACATGTGCGTTGGTGTAGGGAGTGCCGCAGGCCATCTGTTATCACTGGCCTTGACAAGCTTTTTTTTCTGTGAATGGCCGGTGGCACGTGAGGTTCAAAGTCGTGCTGCTTTGTGCTGGTTCCTGTGCGGCCATGGGGGGCAAGCGCAAGTCCGATGCGCAGGCCGCTGGCACTGCCGACATCAGTGCCTTTTGCACCGGCAAGAAGGCTTGTGTCTCCACTGCCCTGGTTCCGGCATGTTCAGCCGTGTCGCCAGCAGACGGCCGCTTGGTTGCTGTTGCGAAAGTTCTGATGGAGACGCTGGAGAAGGACATCGCGACAGAGATCCTTGCCCCGATGATGCCGGAGTTCGAGTTTTGGGATGCGCAGGCGTACCTCCCTTTGTCAAAGGGTGGCATCCTTCCCTTGTCTGCCGAGTTGTATCGGGAGAAGATCGCGGTTGATAGGGAGCTGACGTGCATGACGACTTTGCGAGAAGTAGGCCTTGCAGCTTGGCCTGAACACCTGTTTGTTTGCCGAAGGTCGCATGTATAGTGCAACGCTAAATCACGG